TTATTTATTTTTATTTTATTCAACTGGTTATCATCTTTTGCTATTATTACTTATTTTAATGTTCAAATTGTTCCAAATTTGCCAGTGGCAGCCCCTTTCAGCTGACCCCCGTGTCCTTTTGACATGGCCCTTTTATTTTTTCAGGCTTTATGTACTTTCTATCACAACACAATGTTTCAGGCTCCCCTTGTCCTTTCCATGCCCAGTCCAGGAATCAGGCATTTTTCTAAGGAGCCCTGGGAACTTTTGTGCAGGATAGAACTTAGAAACCAAAATCTGGTGCTAGGGTGCTCACTGTCCTTAGATGTGATTGCTTCCAGGCCCTCGGTGAATAGGATTAAAGGGAAAAGTTTGCAATATTGGTATGCATATCTGTATCTATATCTGTATCTAAAAACAAACATATAGCCATCTACATACATATATATATATATATATATATATATACACACATACTTTTTATATTTCTATCTAAATTTAAAAATCAGTTCATATCAGTACCTCAGTGCTAATTAATTTCCTCAGAGTGCAATTCTACTCTTCTTTCCATATTTGTAAATCCCATCCACAACAATGGGGAACCTGGCAAATAGTCATTATGTTGTGGTTAATATATCCTATCCCTATCTTCCTCCATTCCTCTCTTGAACTTCCAACATTTTCATTGTCAGGTGGTCATTAAGAGAGAGCTTTAATTATGTGAAGACTTATAGTGTTGATTCCATGTAGGATGGTATCTGAGTCTATGTGAAAATGCTCCCCGATAGAAACAAGGTGTAAAGCTCAATGATGTCATAACACAACTGAGAGCATCTCTGCTGCAGCCAGGGTTACTGTTTTCTAGTAGAAAACCTGGTAGAGAAAATTGAGTTCTTAAAATAAATTTCATAACAGCAACTTAGCTGTAAATGATTTTTAAAAAGTCACTTGATTGTGCAAACTGGTTAGAGCAAAAATATGTTAATGATATTTCAAGAGCTTAATGTCAACCATTGGTGTCCAATAAATGAAAATGACTTTTAGTGATACATCTGGAAATACGATGTTTTTTTGAGCCAAAATCTCATAAGATTTACATAAAATATGAATTTTTATTTTTACCATGTGCCTATTTTATCAACTTCTGATATTTGGGATAGAAGAAAATAAAATGAATTAGATACTACTTGAGACATTGAAAAATGAGTAAAATGTTAAGACATTAAATTTATTGCTTGCTCATTGAGAGAAAGGAAGTGAATATTTAAGGAAAACAATTTTTCTTAAGGACAGGGCAATGTTTTGATAAGGAAAAAGGGGGAAGAGAATATATTTTGATATTTATACCAGCATCACTGGAATAAAAAATGTAATGTGCCAAAGTAACTATTTTGAAGAGGAAAACACTCATCTGAATGGAAAATTCTGTTACGTTTCTGTAAGATCCCAACTCTATCTTCATTCTCATGTTTATTCATTTCACTAATATTTACTGAGTGCCCACTCTGCGCCCTACATTTTATGAGGCATTGGTGATATGTCAGTAAATAAGGTAACCACAGTTTCTTCTTTCATGAAAGCTACATTTAGTTGAACTGTCATTAGCTGATTAATTCATGCACTCATTATATTAGGTAAAATGAGTTTAGCTCTGTGTGACAGGAAACTTGAAATAACAGGGGTTTAAACAATTGCCTCATGTAAAAATAGATCATCTAGACCTCAAATTGACTCCATCATTCTGGAAAACCTTAACTTTTATCTTGCTGCTCTGCCATTCTTTTTTTTTGAAGTTATTCCATACACTTAAGTTTAATAAAGTTCTAAATATATAGAATCACTACCTGTGCACATTAAGTAAATGCTCTGCCATTCTTAACTAGTGTATGCATGTAGCCTTTTGAGTCTGCTTCCTTTAACTTAGCATAAAGCATTGAGATACAGAATGTTTGTATCAACAGTTCATTCCTTTTATCTCTGAGTAGCATTGCATTCTACGGAGGTATTCAATTTGTTTATTTATTCTCCAGTGGAGAGACTTTTGGGCTGTTTCAGGATTTCAGCTATAAAGTTGCTATAAATATTTGTTAACAGGTTTTTGAGTGAACATAGGCCTTTTATTTTACTTGGGTAGATATCTAGGAATGAGAATATTGGGTCATAGGGTTAAGTGCATATTGAACTTTACAGAATCTGTGAAATTATTTTTAGAGTGGCTGTTCCACTTTGCATTCTCACCAGCAATGTATGAGAGTTCTGGGGGCTCTGCACTCTCAGCAGAGTTTGCTATTATCATTTTTTAGCCATTCTATTAAGTGTATAGTAGTATCTCATCGTTTAATTAGCATTTCACTAATTACTAATCATAATGAGCATTTTTTTCATGTGCTATTTGTCATCTGTATATCTTTTTTGGTAAAATGTTCAAGTTTTCTGCTCATTGTAAAATTTTGGTTGTTTTCTTATTGGTGAGTTTTGAGAGTTCTTTATATATATTGGCTACAAGTCCTGTGTCAGATATATGATTTGCAAATATTTTCTTCCAGTCTGTATTTGCCTTTCCATTCGCTCAACAATGTTGTTTGCAGAGCAAACATTTTTAGTTTTCGTAAAGTCCATTATATATTGTTTTATGGATTGTCCTTTGTGTCTTAAAACTGGATTTTTATATGTTAAAAAGCAAATTTATTTAAAAAGACTAAATTCCTCCTAGCAACAATAGATTATCTACAAATAACACATTAGCTATATTTCCTAAATGTGACATCAAACAGGAAGAAATTAGATAATTTATGCCAGAAGAACCAAATTATTGTTATAAGGATCTAATACTATTCATTTTAAAAACAGACTAAAGTGTTTCAGATTTTGTACAAAAGTAGCATGTCAATACATGAAAAAAAATGCTTCATCAGCATTTCAAATGCATTCACTTATTCACCTATTTATTTATTTAAAAAATTTTATCAAGCACCTAATATGAACCAGACACTGTGTTCTAGATGGGGATACACAGATAAATATTACGGGATACAGAACCTTTGGACAAGTAAATCAACAGATTTTAACATAATATTATAAGAACTATGGTTGGCATATGTTCAAAGTAAACCATATTTTTCCCATATTTAGTAGTGGTTTCATTACACTCATCTCAGTTTACAATTACTTATTTGTGTGACTTGATTTAATGTTTGTCTCTCCCATGGTGTGCTCCAGGAGTATAAACATGATGCATATTTTCTTCATTGTGGGTTGCACATAATAGGAGTTTGGTTAATTGTTGAATAAACAAAGTGGTTGCTATTGGAGTACAGAGAGGAGGAGTTGCTAATTCTGGCCCTGTCAGTTTTGAAGATTTCATTAAAAAGGTGATATTTTCAGCAGAGGTAGGAATTGCTAGTGGGCGTGGGGCTAGTAAGGAAGAGAAAGGTGGCATCCCAGTACTCTGCAGTCTTAACCATGGACATGTGAGGTCACATAATACATGTGCAAAGAACAAAAAGTTGCAGTGGGGCAGGATCACCCTGTGGAGGGAAGTGTGAAGGCAGGAGGTGAGGACAACAGGGAAGGCTGAGGTCAGGCTGGGAACGAAAGGCCTTGCCAACCAGGTACCAGGCTTGAACTTCAAAGCAATGGTGTTGGGGAGACTGAACGATTTTAAGTTTTCAGTGACATAATCACCTTTGTCATTCTTAGGGAGATATGACAGCATTGTGGCTGACTAGACAGTGGAACAGTCAAGGCTGTTGCTGAAACCTGGGTAAGAAACGATGAAACTGAGGCAGTGATAGTACAGATATGGAGGAGGGAGAGCTCTGAAAGCTATTCTAGGAGACAGAATTCAAGAGACATGGTGATTGATAAGATGCAAAGGGTAAAGTAGGAGGGAATTTAATATTTTAGCTCCTCTGATGGATACCTGAAGAGTATTGTATGTTTGAACATATTTTTAAAAATTTCCTGAATAATGTTACATGTTCTTTAGAAAATATGGTAAAGAATAAAGAAGAAAACAAAAAAAATCATCTATTATCCTGCCATACAGAGATAACCGCTGCTGATATTTAGAGTGTTAATCTTTCTATCATTAAAAAAATACATTTTTAAAAAGAGATCCTAAGGATTCTATCTCCACCAGAAACTGACTTCCATAAACTGCAGTGATATATTGAACTTCATTTTGAACCCAAATATTAAGTTTTTACTAAACTATGAGCTGAACCAATTAAAAAAAAAATCAAGAGAACTAGGTACATGGACAGAACTTCAGAAGAAGGAATTTCTTCCCTGGAAATAAATAAGCGTCAGCGCTCTTCAGTACCAGGTCCTAACTCACAGGGTCACTGAGAGAGAGTTCCAGGTTCATTTTGATTAATTCATGTTCAATCCATTTAGCCCCGCAGGGAGTCAGCCCCACAGTGAACACCTCGCGTGTCCAAAGGTCTAAAGCAGGGCTGCTTATTTTCCCACTCGAACCCTGAGCTTGTGTAAACCTGTGCACATAAACTAAGTAAGAGAAAAACCTTCCGAAGGCCAGAGGTCTTAACCAAAATATATGTTATCCGAGGCACTTCCAAACAGAGGGAATGGAAAGGGTGTTTTTAGTTTTAAAATGATATTTTTATGTTGAGAGGGAGCAGGTGACGGGGAAGGGCAGAGGCAGGAAGTTTCGGAGGAGGCTGCCGGAAAAGCAGCTCCAAGCACAGAAAGTCCAAGGAGGAGATGGAGGGGCCTCCAATTTGTATCAGTGTAGTCACTGGGGGGCTACCTGGCGGAGGTGGGGCGGTCCCCAGGCCCTGGCTCCCA